CATTTACCTCTCTGGTCATGACCTGCTGATCTTGACCAGTTGACCCAAGGTATCTCATTTCAGCATCAGAACATTTTTGAAACTAGATGGCACTAGTAATTATAATTTTATATTAAAATTAACTTCCAAAATATAACTTTTTTTGTTTTTACATTTATTAATATATTTATTTTGTTTGTGCAAAATAAAATAATAATTTCAGATGATACAATAGCCACAATTATTTTTTCAAAAACGGGAAATTTTTGTTAGGCATCAACAAAAATTCAACCTGGGGCAACACGCAATGGACAGAAATTTCAACATTGGATGGGTTACTTTCACCAAAAATGCCTTGTGGACAACCTCATGGTCGTGGCCATGACCAGCGAAGTTTGAACGATTGCATTGAGTCCAGTCTTTGAGACATAATCTTGTCCCAAAAATCAGCCTTGCCGTTTAACTTGTTTATAGCTATAGGAGATCTGTTCAAAAAATACGCAGACTGTTTGAATTGCATGGCTCTAGTTGGTTCCAGGGGAATCCACTTGGTGTCGCTAGGTTTGTACAGATTGTCTGGCGATAAAGACGTTTCCCGATTACAGATATCTTTATTTGTTGATTAGCTACGCGGTTTTTAGTGAAGTGCAATTTTTTCATTTGTTGGATTTCAGAATGAATGACCTGATGGAGCAATGACTTGCTGTGAAATTTTGTGTTAAACTTGGAAAATCTGTGACTGAAACATTTGTTACACTCAACGTGGCTTACGGTGATGTTGCTATGAAGCGTACGGCATGTTTGAAGTGAACTGGTTTCCCAGACCCAAAAAAGCTCGCCAAGTTCAATCCAATATCAAGGTGATGTTGACAGTTTTCTTTGATGCTAAGGGTGTTGTTCACCACGAGTATCTCCCCCCAAGACTCCACAGTGAACTAGACTTACTAATAATTCTTTCTAGACTGCATATTGTAATATCAAAACACTTACTAACACACCTTTTCTTGCAGCCGACGCTTTATTATAACGACTTTCAAACGTTTTCGATCTTATTAAAAGACCTTTCTCAAGAAAATAAAATTAACTAAGTAACAAAATAAACGACATAATCGTAAATCGAACGCTTAGTACGAATAACTGTTTTTTAAATCTTTCGAACTCGCTTATAATCCGTTGTACATGACGTCATTGTAACCGGAAATATAAAAAGATTACGTAACTATCTAAATATAAATACATAAAGATGCCATCTCCCTACATCGTTCAAAAAATATAATTTGAGATACATATTCACTATTTTCTTCAATTATTAATTTTATATTAAGCTAGAGGACCATGCTGCTGATATTTTAGTCGATTCCCGGAAGTTGATTGCAAGGCCTTTATGCTTTGCCTTACAAATCTGCCAGGCTTCCGCGTAATGTCGGTGTCTCCTGTCTCGAACTATCTGCATTAGTCTTGCTTGGTCCCATTCAACATTGACGTCTTGCTGGTCCGCTAGAACGTAGGTGGCTAGCGCAGTGCAAGGTTGTTTTTTTCTTATATTTGCTTGATGTTCTGCTAACCTGTCTTTGATACTTCTTCCTGTTGCCCCTACATATATTAATTTACTTCGTCGCCTTGAGTCC